AATCTAAGAATGAAATACCTGACTGGTTTCCAAAAGCCTATCTTCAGGTGGCAATGTGAGATTTACACACCTGTAACACTAGTACCCAGAAAAGGTAATTAAAAAGTGATACTAAAGTGATATTTTCACCATTTAATGTAAAAGATATTTTAATTTCCGTAATTAAAACCAAAAATCAATCAGCTATCAAGTTATAAGTAAAACAGTACATTTCCCCCCAAGAGAGAATTTTCTTAAGAGACATGAAAACGTGCAGGCTGGTAACAACTGGTGCTATACACATCTTAATTAGGAATTCAGGAGAATGGCAGGGTAGTGTTCTTCTACACACACACCCCCCCTCCACACTTCTGTGGGGTTGTTCTAGTGCACAACACAGGAACTTCAACTGAAGCTCTCCTACCTGCTGGGCAACACTCCTTTCTTCCTTCCTGACTATCCCAGCTCTATATGTTATTGGTGGTGCCCTATGCATCACTTATGAGCCTCTTTCAGGGGGAGGGAATATCCTGCTAACACGCTACCTCTTCTCTAATGAAAAACCAGTTCTCAATAAAGCCCTATGAACTTCACATCACTGAGATGAGCACCCCTACCAATCTGTTGCAGTGGTCCAAATGAGCCAAAACTTGTTCCAAACAGCTCTAAGTCTGTGCTCTCCCTCCCTGCTCCAAATGATGACTGTAAACCAGCCACAGTAGAGTATCAGATGTGGTCCACACTGAACCATCTCCTTCCAATTAAGACCAAAACAAACCTAACTTTTCATATGACATTTTCAAAGGTAATTAAAACTGTATATGAACTGTGTTTGGACAGCTAAATTGTTCATCTTTCCTAAATACCTTCCAGGCATGAGAAGTCAGCAGCTACATCGCATCTGCACTATCAAACAAAACAAAGAACAGAACTCAGGAAATTAGTTTTCTCTATTACTGGGGTATTAAATTCTCTTAGTTTACATAAGGACAACAGCAGTGCTTGTTCTGCATGGATTTACTGAGAATGAAATAAACAGCCAGGATATACAGTAGCCTTCAGTATTAGTTGACTGGATCATTTACTTTTGTAACCAGTCATATTTAGATGCTAATCCAAATAAACAGGTCAGAAGAAATGCAAACTGCTGTCACTCCTGGTAAGCAAACTGTCTGTAGGGACTTGGGAAAAATATTAGTATTTTCATCTAACTTAAAGATGGTAACTGCAAGTTTTAGAAATCCAGTAGCCCCTTCAAATTTCATGAAGGCAAAGAAAAATATTCCTTGCATGATATGATGCACAAAATTTACTGATGCAGCACTTTTTTTTAAGTGCTGGATCATTTGGAGGCATTTTCCTTTTGTGGTATTAGAAGAGAAATCTCACTTTTATAGATCTCTAATCTCTCTTCGGAAGTAAAGACTCTGAAAACCTCTCCAGTAAAACAGCATCCAAAGCATTTAATTATACTTTACATAATCCTAATACAGAATTAGACTACTAATTATGATAGCCAGGTGTGTTTGTGTACACCTATAAACAGATGTAAAAGGCTTGTTTGTAAGCATGTAATAGTATCTGCCACAAGACAGGTAAAAACAATTGCCTGGAGCAGGCATGCACAGCATGCATGCAGAAATGCAATGGAAGAATTAATCTTTCACAGATCTGCTAAACACTCCAAAGAGTGCTTGCCCTTGCTCTCCATCTCTCCGGCATCTGTTTTGTTTTTCTGCTGTCTGGACTGCTTCTTCACCTCTCCTATCTCTGTTTACACAAAGAAAGAATTCAGGAATTGTGACCTTGCAGCTTTGACTTTGCAACATTTTATAGTGTTTGTATAATACAACTCACTTGGGGTCCAAAGGAAAGGCCACAGAAGGATTTAAGCCACAGGCGCTCAGGGCCTCTATGGGTTATTAGAAGTGTCAGCCAGTCTGCCTTGATACCCATACTCTGCTTCTTGAAGTATACTGTGATTTTTACTGGATATGTCATATAAATGATACATACTATGATCTGTATCATATTTTAATATGTATTTGTATATGTCAATGATTCCTCTTCAGCCTCCTTAAATATGGAACAAATCCCACCTCATTAGGACGTGTGCCCAAATGCGCCACCATTTCTGCATTAAGTGACTGCAGCTTCAGTCTTAATACATAAATGCACTGACTGCAACAGCTAAATTCAGGACTCCTCTCCTGTCTCAGTGATCAGGTAGACCTGTTTAAGCCCACAATTATCATTACTTGTGCTATACGAAAATCTGAAGCTTCTAAGTAGAGACATCGGTTATCTTCTAGAAACTTGCAAACATTTCTTCTGCCCACAACTGGTAGGCCAACGAGCCGAGGTGCACTTGGTCAAATCTAACCCTGGAACAGTGCCTTGAAGTTGAATTTCTGTACTTCAGATAGTCAGCACCTGGACAACTGAAGGTCTGTGACAGATGATGACAGCATTGTGCTTCCTCCTTAGACTTCCTCACACCGTGATGCTGCCACACCACAAGCCAGGTCCGGGGTCACTCAAGCTTGAGCCCCAGCAATGTAACACAATCCCCACCACCAACATGTCTGGGTTAGCCAACAGCTCCAAGCACCACGTAAAACAAACCTCTCCTACACTCCTTTGCTTTCACTCTTTGTCTCTACCCAACGTGAGGCTTTCATATGAGCCTCAGCTCTCACCCTACCCTCTATTTGGCCCTTCAGCACCACTGAGCTGCAAATACGAAGGAAGTAGGTCTGGGCTCATTTCTGAGATCAGTTGCCTTGGGAGCAGCTTCTGAAGCCTCCCCAGGAGAAACAGGGAGAGCAGAGCGCAGCTAACTTCAGGAAGCAAAATGCATCATATTCCCATGCTGCCCACAAAGGACATGGCACTGCAGGGAAGGACACTTTGCAGCAATCACTCTGCTATGAAGTGGTCTCTTTCCACAACAGAGGGACTAAGAGTCTCCTGAACTTCAGCTAACATTTTCACTAAGGCTGCCATTAACTCAGCTGGAGGAAAAACAATCTGAGACCAGAGTCACAGCAAAATGCAAATACAGAAATTTTTACAGGTCAGCTAAAAAATTTAAGAAACTAGCAGTTAAGATATTCTTTCACTCTCTTATTTTCTATTTCAAAAATAGAATTCTAGAAGAGCTTTTCAGTGTGTTCTTGCACAAATCTTTGTATTCCTGCCCATACAACAAGAGCTTAACTCAGTATTGCTACACACACAGTTAGGCAAGTTAGGCTTTGTCTACCTGGCGACACTGTGATTTATTGCTGCAATTGCTCACAAGGAGGTATTTTCAGGGGAAAGGTTTTTAAAAAAAAGCACCAGTCTTACAACCAAAATTCTAGAATTCTCCCAAATGTGCAGAATTGTCTTATACATGTAAGTTTCTCCAAAAGGACAAATCCTAAGGTGTTTCTCTAACTACTACAATCAGCCACTGAGTTCACTGAGTTCACAGTTACTTTTTTTAAAATGAATCTTCAGAGTGACACAGGTTACCAATCACACAAAACATGAATTCCTGTGAGAAAACAAACTGCAGCTACCACTACATTTAGTCAAGGGACGTGCAACACTAATGACACTGCTCACTAACTGATTCACTCTCCCATTCCTGCCTGTACACAGTGGTTAAGGAAAAGTAACCAAACACCCTTTTGTTTTTCTTGGTTTTAGATGCACACTGAGGACAACCTCTATACTAAACAAGAAATGCTTCCTCAACAGAAGCTTAAATGAAAAGAAAAACAGTCTTACAGATGAGCTGTGAGAGCCATTTTTTTTCCATAACCACCATTTGAAAGGAAGTACAAGGACATCTTAGCAACAGGAACCCACATGGGAATCAACACAGAATGATGTTTCCACATTAAACCTGTTGATATATGAAATATGACTAGAGAGGTACACAAAACATGTAAAAATGTTTGGATGGGAATTCCACAGGAGATGGATGAACAACTGAAGCATGCAGAAAGATGTTAGAACTATCTCGCTTTAGATAGTGTACTTTTTATCCCAGTTCTCTACGACGCAAGGCTATGCAACCATACCATTTGTCCCTGCACAATAACTTAAGCATATGTACAAGTTTAATCCAAACACTACAAATTAACAGAGGTCTAAAATATGTAAGAGACCAAAGACAAGACAGACACAAATTAATGGTCTTATGTGAAATAAAGACAGTAATATGAGCTCATGACCTGGCCTGCTGGCAGCCACAGCAACTCCAGCAGGTACCATTCTCTGGCCCACCAGTGGCAGATGAACAATGGAAGGAGACAGACACAGGGTAAATGGAGAACTGAGCTTGGGGGAGATCAAGACACAAGCTGCTGGGTGCACATATGAACTCTTAGAGACACCTGCTTTCCTTAGTACAACTTCAGGAATGGACCTTTATACTGAATGTTTCTTAGAGACTAAAGAAAAAGGGTTTTCTAAAAACTTTAACAAGGAGAACATATGCAAAGGTGAGATTTGGCTGTCTGGGAGGAGTTCTTAGGAAAATACATAAGGATGAAGCAAAGATGTGGAGCAAGGAAAGGAGGAAATGCGAATGAGTCCTCTCTAAGCCTCAGAGGAGATTTTTTGCAACACTGTGCTTTCCTCAGTATGCACTTCTTTAATCTTTACACGCTGCGAGGAAAAGCCTGCAGCTTGCTGAGGGCTGCTGGAATCCCTCCGAGGGTAAAACCCAAACACGCTTACTACACAAATCCCTCGACAGGTTGCGAGCGATGAATGAAGGGCGGTCCAGCGGCGTGGCTCGCACCGCTCTGTCCATCGGGATCGGGGGCCCGGGGAGGCAGCAGGGGGAGAGGTAGAGTGAGGGAATAGCGAACCGCCCCGGGGAAACCCCGGGAACACTCGAACACAGAGGCCCAGTGACCCCCTGGGCCGCGCATCCCCCTGGTGACCCTCCCGCCCCCCGATCCCGCCGCGGCCCCGGCGGCAGCGCCCGCGGAGGCCGTGACTGCATCCCCCCCGCCGCTCACCAGCTGCTTGAGGTCCTCCTCGGAGAGCCCGGCGTAGCGGTACCGCTGCTGTTCGAACTCGTAGCGCGTCGTCTTCACCACTACGGCCACCCGCGACGGCCGGAACCCGCCGCCCGCCGCCCCCGGCCCGCCGCGCTCCCGCCGTCGCGGCTCGCATGGCGCGGCTCCCGCCGCCCCCCGCCCCGCCGCCGCCGCCGCCGCCGCGGAGGGGCTCAGCCCGCCGAGGGCGAGCAGGCGTCGGCGGGCGCCGCCGAGCAGCGGCAGCCCCGGCGGGGCGGGGGGAACCGCCGCCGCCGCCCCGTGGCAGAGCAGGGCGGAGCGGCGAGCGGCCGGCCGGCCGGCGAGGCGGAGGCGGGCGCAGGGGAAGCCCCGCGCGGCGAACATCGCCCGGGCTCGCTGCGCCGCTCCCCAGGGCGGGCAGACGGGGCGGGCGCGGCGCTGCCGGCGGCGGCTGCGGCCGCTCTGCGGCGGCGCCCGGCACACATGGCCTGGCCACGCCCAGCGCCACGCCCACCGTGCGCGCACCCACCGCCCCCGCCAATCGCGGGCGGTGCCGCCGGGCACCCGCCCCGCGCGGGGGCGGGGCCGGGGGCGCGCCCCAGCGCGTGCGCCCTTCCCGGCCAACCGGGGCGCAGCGCGCGGCGGGAGAGCGCCCCGCCCCCGCACCCCTGGGGAGCGCGGGCTGCGCATGCGCCCCGAGGGCGCGGCCGCTCCCCTGCCCGCCCCCGCCGTGGCACCGCCCCGCCTGCTGGGGGCCCCTGGCGCGCGGGACGGGGCGAGAGGCACGTACGCGGCGCGCGGGGCATCCTGAGGGGACGGCGACAGGACTTCCAGTGCTTCCATTGCCTCCAGTGTCCCCAGTGCCTCCAGTACCCCCGGGGGATGGCGACAGTGCCTCCAGTGCCCCTAGTGCCCGCGAGGCACAGCGGCAGCGCCCCCGGTGACATTGTTAAAGAGATGTCAAAGAGGAAAACAATTACGTGGTCTTGGACCGCGTGCGCGGAAACCTCACGTTCTCGTGTTGCTGCTCCGGTTCTGTGTTTTTATGATGGTATTACAGTACGGCAGAAAGGCGAATACGAACCAGTAGTAGGATATCAGCGAAATTTAAGATAGGCTGGGGCAATATACAGGAATTCTGAGATTAAAAAAACAGTGCGGCCCTCCCCCCCCCCCCCCCCCCCCCCCGATCTCCCACACGCGGGACGGCGACAGTGCCCCCATTATTTGTGAAACAATGACTGTGGTGTCCCCTGTTTCAGCAGGTGGATTCAGAGGTCGCTGCCAAGCAGTCTGTGGAAATCCCGAAGTGGGATTGCCTACCTGGGAGGCCAGCCTGCTTCCCTGTGAAACTTGCCTAAGGAAAAGGTCTCCGAGAGTTGGAAAAATACAACAGGTGTTTTGTTTTAAAGAACTAAATTGCACATCTGGTGAGGATCTGGCGAGAAACACGTAGTTTGAAACCTCTGACTCTTATCTGTGACTGTTCTGGTGTTTGATCACAGTGTGTGAGGAAGGGCAGGAAGGGGCAGCGTGGTGAGAGACGCAGCTCCCACGGGGGAGGATCTGAGAGCAGCGCTCGCTGTGAGTGCCACGTAAAAAAAAAAAAAGAAATTAAATGATTGATCCTGAGTTGCTTTTTAATATTGTAAGCAGGTGCTCCAGAAATGCTGTGAGGGGTTTGCATCATTATTAATAACTGCCTGCCCAGGCATCGACTGCCGCAGGCAGCCAGTACTTCTGCACCGGAGGGAGGCCTCACTTAGGCACGTATTTCTCATTACTCACCTAGTTCGTGATCTTCCCCTGGGGAAGTCACAGCCTCTGGCTGCAGGTAGAGATTGAAGCAGGAGCTCTTGCCTGTCAGTGCAGCACTCTTCTATACACTATCACTATCTATACAGAGATATTAGGAAATGAGAGTAGCCAGAGCCAGTCAGCCTTTCCCTGCTCTTGTATTAACAATACAAAGGCTCTCTTCAGTCTTTACTGATGGGTACGAGGATTTTCTATCTACTGATTAGCTTAGCCTTGAAGGAAACTACCACAAACCAGATTGCCAGGAGAGTAATTAAACATAACTAATTCCTTTGCTAACCAAAAAATGCCTCATTCAGTATAACAATTAACTTTTGGATTGTACAAAGCCGTAAGTAATACAAGATCCTGGAGGCTCAAAGGATATAGGAGGTTTTGAAAATTTATTACTCTGATCTGAATGGTATCTATTTTATAACTTCTTTGACCATTGAGCTGCTCCTCTAGGATTCTGTACTTCATGTATTATCTATTTATATTTCACTGTTTTGATCTTTGAAAAACAAATCAGCTTAAACTACTAAGGCAAGCTTGAATATGGAACAGTATTCGATGCTGAGATCATGCAGTTATCATGTTATGGTCATTTGAATTAATGCCCACAGCAAGCTTATAAGCACAAAATATGATATATGTATTTTAAAATGTGAATTCAAATCAGTAGATGATATCCTAAAGTTCTGGAAACAATGCTGAGGCACAGAGCATGAAGTGATTCATCCACGGTTCCCAGAAGGAAGTGTCTGACAGACTAGCTGTCAGATTGTCTGATACCCCATTGTCTACACGGAAAAGGGTTTAAACTTTTGTAACATATAAAATAAAGTTTGTGGAACGTTACTTACAGTTTGCATCTTACTTTGTAAATGGATCTACTTAGAAAATAGTCATTAGACACTAACCCCACCCTTACTACAATTCTTGATTTGAATTTTTACCTGATATACAGGAAGACACAAATGTCTGTCAAATGACACTTTGCTTATTTTGACATATATTCAGTTTGTGGCATATGACATGTCTTCAAGCCCCATTTTTAGTGACTTCAGAACAATATATCCAGGGGATTAAGGTACAGATTCATTCATACAAAATTAAATTAATTAATACAGACATTTTAGCCTGGTATCCTTATAGGATACAAGTATGTAGTAGGATTGAATTCCCACTGTAATAACTTTATAAATCCCTGGCCCACCACAACCAATTTTAGTTTGGGCGCAGGGCACTTAAAAATTCTTCATAGAAACATATGCCTGCAGTTAGAAAAAAATGTTGTGGAGTAATGCCCATTTTAGACAGGAAGGAGTTATATAATACATGAGGTAAATTTCAAGATGCAAATCCGTAGAAAACCAGGCATCCTTAGCTCTACATTTTTCAAGTTATATAGAGGACTTTAAAAAACTCCTATGTAATACACTTAAAATATTCTGTGTTACAAAGTAACTGGGAAAATTTCTACATAAACACTAAATGATTCCTTAAGTCATTTCACTAGTTGCAAAACTGGCAATGCACAACTGTACTAGCAGTTTTATAAAGTAGCCTTTTTCTACCCAAAAGGATGTACATACTGCTTCTAGTGCACTTGCAGTCTAGGACAACTGTTCATTTTGTTGAACATATTCACTCCTTATTGAAGGCTATGAATAATGCCTTCTTGTGAGAGTTTAATTAATAAGCAGTATAGACTTAACTGATCCAATTATTTACATTTTCTAGACTTTCTTTATCTGACCCTAAGTGCTACTGGTACCTGAAAATGATAGCAGTGCCTTTGTGTTTAAAATGGCAATGCTATCAGCTGCATTCATACAGGAGGAGGTAAACACACCATCACCATAATGTTTCATAAAACCAGTCCTCGGATTTTGAGCCCAGCTGACAACAGCTGTTAATTCTAATAATCCAGAGAAAAAGTCCAGACTAATGCTTAGAGAACATGTCACTCGTGACACGTCAGAGCCTTACAAGGCATGTGGATGAACACATTAGCAGGTGTAGTCTGACTGAATTTCTGATCCCAGATTCTATCTATGTGCACTTGCATTTTGCTTGCAACGTGTATACCCTCATCAGTGATTACATAGTTGAGTTATGTAATTTGGTTCATAAATTCAAAATTACAAAATCAACAAAGCTTCAGAAAAAGCAAAAAAACAAAGTAAATGCAGCTATTATTATTAATTCAAATTACAGAATTTTTTTTACACAAAACCAATGAGAGGAGCAAGTTTTCTTGTCCACACTTTCATTAGAAGATGTTTTAATTAGCATAGATTTACTTTCCTGCTTTTCTTCCCACTCTTTGCTTATGCAAAACAAACTACTCCATCGCTGAATTGGACTAATACAATTGACTTCAACATTTCAAAAGCCATTTGAATATGCTCAAAGTGCTGCAAATACATTGTTTTGTAAGAATAACTTTAGTGTTTGTAAAAGACAGCTCAGGAATCTCCACTTTTCAGACAGACAACTGCTGTAGAGTGAGCCTTTCTAGATTTTCCTGCCAGCATTCCCCAGTGGTAAGCGCTCTAAAACCCAGCTAGGAAAAAGAGGATGCTCTTTCCCTCGCTGTCCACGTTGTACCAGCTGTCACTAGCACTGAAAACAATATCAAATGTGCTAAAGATTTTCCCTGTACTCATTCATTCAGTAGACACATTGCAAAACTCTTGACTTCATACACTTTGCCAAAACTAGTTCAGAGGTCACTAAAGAGCATGACATATAAACTTGAGGGACAAGATTTATCAAGAGATACAAATGCCTCCAGAACACAAAGTAAGACATTCAGGCTATTCCATCCAAGCAGATTTTGCTAGAAATTCATAATCTTAGTAGCAGATATCTGCATATGTATAATTATTATTGGGAATTGTTAGTTTTTCCTTCCTTTGAAAATTACTATTGCATGAATACATAATATCTTCCAGCTCTGCATACCTTACGTATATAAATTAATCCCTAGGGTCTGTTAGAAATAAATAAATAACATTTATCTAGGGAAAAAAAATTAATGATATCTAGTTTCATATGGATTTGTGTCAAATCCCTACACCCCTCTTCAGGCCACAGTAATCCCAGGTCCCATCCGTCCATGGTTTATTTCTCCTCCTTCCCAGAATATGCTGCAGCTTGTTCAGAAGCAGGAATGCACCACTCAGCCCCACAAGCATCACAGAAAATACTCTGAAACTTTTTCCTCAAAGAATGCCTTTCTCTGATTTCTGTCAACTCCCAATTTTCATTAAGGAGTTAAATTGTCTTAGAGCTTTCTAGCTCCTGTCCAATTTTTCTGAAACTGAACTATGTGCTCAATGTGGGTCTGACACATGCTTAAATCTTGCTTCCTTAGGAAAGCAGGCTAGAGATTCTGCAGCATGGAAGGAACTGTCGGTAGGAAGCTCTAATTGGGCTGTAAATAAGACTACTAGTTACATGGAAATTAAAGCAGTAAGAAAATTGTTTATTTGTCAGGCATAGAAATTGCTCCAGCTGTCACAAAGTGACAAATTTACATTTTTAAAACCAGGTTAATATATTACATAATAGCACACCTTCAGTTTTGAGAAACAATGAATTTTAATGCAGTGAGACTAAAGAGAATAA